AGGTCAGTATTGACATACTGGAGACTGGATAGTCTTCACTGGAAATGGCAAAGGAGAAGTAGAACAGAGAAAGAAGAGTCGATTCTTACGAGGCGAGACAGGGAAAGGCTTTCTGAAAGGATGGAAAATGTAAACAGAGATCTAAGTGACAAGAAGGAGTCAGCTATGACCAGGCAGAGGAAGAGCATTTCAGACAGCGAGAACAAACAGAACAGAACGTGGCTTGGTCTGGCTTCCTAGAACCGAGGCTAGCTCAGGAGGCTCTGTACAAAAATTGGCAAGGATACAAGCACCTGGTGTCAACAAATTTGGGGAGAGCAACTTCAACCTGAACCTCAGGATTATGCCTGGTAACTCCAGTGAGTGCTAGTCTACAAAGAGGGATGCAGTTCTGAGTCAAGTCCAAGGTTTGCACTAAGCTGGACTCTACCACTAACCCAGGCCCCTGGATGATGGGCAGCAAGACCACAGAGGAGGGAGGTGCTGACCTGAATCTCAGGGCAAAGCAAAGCTCCCAGGTCTCACTCAAGTCCTCTGGTGACACAAGCCGATTCGGGAGCTTGAGTGTGACCGGCATTCTTCCAGGTGGAGACTGCAAGGCAGTTGGCATCATCCCCTCCCCCAGAGGGGGCTGCAGGACCAGACCCAGCATGCTGAGGACACGACAACCTGTCTGGGGACATGCTCTCCAGCTCGTTTGCTTTTTGAAGCTCAATGAGGGAGTCCTGAACAGATCTTTCCCCAGGCATCCCTTTGAGTCTTTGAGTGGTTTGAAGCTTCTGAGGTGCCCAGTTAAGCTGGGTATGGCTTCTTCAAATACGGGCTCCCTGTGAACTTCATCCAGAAAATTCTACCACATCCTGTTTCCTGGAAGGCCCCTCTGACTAGGCTCCTAGTTAGTGTCCTTAGACTGGCCTCAGATTCAGCTCTGTTCCCGAGGCCTTACCTGCCCCAACCAGGCCCTACCTGACCTCAGCCTTATCACGTCCAAGTGACTTCCTTTCTTCCCTGCACTAACAGCAGGAGCTCTAGATTCCAACTGCCAGCACTTCATCTCTTCAATCCATGCAACCTTGGGCAAATCCCTGAAAGCCTCAGTGCACACATCTAAGAAAGAGGCTGATTGTAACATCTGTTTCATAGGTTCATTATGAATTGAGTTAATGTGTACGAAGTGCTTGGTACAGTATCTGGCACAGAACATGCTTAGCGACAACAGTGTGGGCTGTTGCTATGAGGCTGCCCACCTATTCCCCATTTGGCCCACCTCAGATGGCACCTCCGCCTCCCTCATCCTGCCCTGAGCGAGAATTTGACCCACGTTGTACCTCACTGGCCACTGACTGGTTCTCTGCTGCCACCTAATGGGCCTTGGCGCCCTTGCACCCTGGGCCTGCCTCAAGAAGGGGCTGGAGATGCCTTGGGGCTTAGAACCTTCTTCGGTGCTCTCCACGAGATTATGAGCTTTTGCTCTCTCATGCACAAACCCCAAAGTCATTGCTATAAGTGAGGGTGATGCTGCTGCCTTTTTCTAGGAGAAGCTAAATAAACAGAACTGGCTCTTCAGAAACCAGAGAAGGCAAGCAGACTGTAGTGACTGAGGCGGGCTGCAGACAGTCCTCTCCCTACACCTCTTGGGACTTGAATCCCGGTTCCCATCACTACCTGTGTGCACAGAAGCTGGCTCCAGTGTGAGAACATGGCCCAGTTTCCAAGGCTACTCAGGTGAGCAGAGAAGAGCGCCAAAAATCACAAATGTGTTAAATCCCATAGCCGCTTGTGATCCATCACTATCAAGAAGGACAGGATTGAAGGACTGGATTAGAATGACCTTTGGGTTAGAAAGATATTGAAAGGTGAACCTCAATCTTTGCTATGATATCAGATAATGCCAGAGCCACCCCAGACCCTCGTACAGAGCACAGCAGGGGTGTTGGTTTTACTTGGGGGCAGAAGGCACAGGAAAGGTTTGAGAGGGAGATGGGCTTTGTTTGACGAGAGGGAGATGGGCTTTGATTGAGTCTGGAAAGGTAAGTAAGGGTTCACCAGGCATAAGATGGGGGTCGTTCCAGGTGGAGGAAATGTAGGTATTCACCAGTCACAACTTGGGATGAGGATGGGAAGGTGACATCCAGGTGGAGGGAGGGCTCAGAGGCATGGAATGGCTTGGTGGGCTTGGAGAACTTCCAGTAGTTCTGTATGAATGGAGCTCAAAGTACAGGACAGGGAGCGGCCAACATGAGGCCAAAGTCCTGAACCTCAAAGGACCTAGAAACCACGCTGAGGCTTTTGGACTGATTTTGCAGTCTGTGTTGAGTCACAGAAAGATTTTAAGTGGGGAAAAAAGTGGGCCACACTTGGAGTCACTCTGCTTTCCAGTGTCATGAAGATATCCACCTCCAGGTGGCCATGAGGATGGCCCAAGTCATTGTGTAATTGTAAACATTTTGTAAACTGGAGATCACATTGTGAGGTCTAGAAGCAGTAGCATGTCCTTGAATGGCAGGGCGTTAGATTGGTGACATGAAGGGAAGAACAGGAGAGAGCCTGGCCTTTTGATTCTAATTCTGATTTGAATGCTGGCTCCAGCATTGACTGGTTGTGTGTTCTTGGGTGTGCAAGACTGTCAGCATCAGTCTCTTCACCTGCAAAATGGGAACACAATATCTCTCACTCGGGGAGGACAGTAGGTGAAGCCTAGTGTGTCTAGCACGGAGTCAGCTCTTGTACCAGTC